TTAGGATGAAAGGTGACCCCTAACTTTTATTACATATTCTAAAAGCACATGAGTTGTAGATATGATTTTACATATCATAATAGCTGATCAGACATTGTGACGTCACCATATTGCCATCTGAAGTAAAAAAACTGAATTTTTATATATGATAATTACTATGAATGATCATTACTCCTTCACCAACAGGCATTTGTCAATGAAAGTTGATACATATATATCTCATATCAGGAGACAACAGTGACATTAAGATGCGCACGCGCGTCATGATGTGCGCGTACGCGCGTCATGACGTGCGCGTACGCATGTGTAAATCTTTTAAAATGCTCAAAATTCTTTTTTAACAAACTAAATTAGCGTATTTTGCCATTATCAGCATTTAAATATTGTTCAATCCGCACCGCGCACACTTCCTCATGGATCAAAGTGCAGCGGATCACCTAACTCATCCTCAGTGATGAGTTCAAATCTAGTTATAGTTATAGTATAGAATGGTATGAATAACAGGGTGGATGTGCATAAAGATTTGGGTGTCTTGATTGACTTTAAACTTAATTTTAATCACCATGTTGATACTATTGTCTGTAAAGGAAACAAAATGCTGGGTATATTTTGGCGTAACTGCAAACCCTTGGACCATAAAACTAAACTCCACCTTTATTTTTCGTTGTTTAGACCTAATTTCGACTAATTGCAGCCTAGCTTAAAACACAAACAACGCGATAAGATATGAAGTTTGCGAGAATAATTGGTATATTTTGTACTGTATTTTCTGAAGCGGCATTCGTTTTGGGGTTGCTACAATCAGGAGTTGTTACGATCAGTGGCGTCACGCTCGGGCTCTGGGGGTTGGGGGCGGAGCGCCAGGGCCCCAGGCACGAGGGGTCCTGACATTGTCGTTTAATATATTAAATTAATATAAACTATAGTACCGTAGTTTCATTCAGTGGGGCCCCGACAGTTCTGATTTTGTGATCAATTTGTTTGCATTGTATATAGGCCCTATTGAAACATGTTTAGGTTATTGAAACATGTTTAGTTCTCACTAAAATTGGCCTATTCTCTGTACACCTCGAGTACATAGGCCTACTGTAGGCCTATACCAGTCCGAAAGTCATGTACCATTCTATGTTCTCTAACAACGCAGTTAACAGTTAATTTTTCAATCTCCAGCAAATTTTAAATAGCATCCCAAATCCTCTTTTTTGGAATGTAAGGAAATACTGTAGATAGTGCTTTTCCTTTGTTGGATCGGATTGTAACTCCTGATTGTAGCAACCCCAAAACGAATGGCACTTCAGAAATACAGTACAGAATACCAATTATTCTCTCAAACTTTATATCTTATCGCGTTGTTTGTGTTTTAAGTTAATATTTGCGATTTTATTAGGATGATAATTTCTGCAATCTAGCCCCGAACACAAATATGTAAAACATTCGGTAATTAAACTGTAACTTTAGTGCATTATATTTTAAAAATTCATCATCCGTATTATTATTTATGACTTTTCACTTGTTACTTGCGCACTTGATTTAATAATTTTTTTAAAAGCATTTTCACCATTAGAATTTTTAATAATAAAAACCATAAAATATTATAGACAATAAAAACAATATGGCAAAATAATATGAAAATATAGCATAAGAAAAAATTGCCACTGATAAACATAATCATTTTCACTATAATTTTTTAATCATTTATAATAACAATTGCCTCAGAATATTGAACATTTTTACAAATATATAAAGTCTTATAAATAATAAAATAATATGACAAAATAATAATAACTAGAAATTATGGTCATGATATTATTATTAGTTTCTCTCACGTTTGAGAGTGTACAAAGGAACAGATCATAAATATAATATTATATCATTTAATATATTATTATATTAATATATACGGTAATTGCAATATCTATAGTAATAATAATAATAATAATAATAATACTAATAATAATACAGTATAATATAATAATAATACAGTAATAATAACGATAACAATATATATTAAAAACAAAAATATTACAATTAATATTATTTACGTAAAATAAATGATAATTAATTAGTAATAACTGTATATTATAATCAGTAGGTTATATAGTAGAGAATAGGCCTATTGAGTGTCACAAAGAATGAAAAAAAACTTGTATTAGGCCTAATTGTTAATAATAAAAACACGAATTAGAATGTGGTGACTCTTTGGACAATGACAGGGAGGACGTGGAATTGTTACATAATGCTCGGATATGCACTCTATTGCATTATCAGGGGCATGCTCTAATGACTTTGGATTCATCAAATTGCAGGTTTTCTTGTAGACGTAGGCCTATGGAAAGTGATGATGAGTTTGACAGCTGGCCGAGTTGATATTGGTCCGAGTGAAACCTCATGTGAAAACCAGGATTTTAAAAAATCAAATTATGAAGTTTCACCCCAATGTGTTGCTGATAGTGATTAAATTATAGTAATGCCGCTAAATGGCAATATTAATAGGCCTAGTTTCAAAAAGATAGCGTTCCTTATAGTACTTAAGTGATGGTGTATTACTAAGTAAATATTTTTTTAAATTTAAGTTTTGCTTACCTCACACGAGAGGAAGTTCTCATGGCCAATCACGAGTGACACGGTTTGCCTATTTCGAAGACCATTACTTGAAGATGATGTCGGAGAACTTTAGATGTTGGGATGTGCTGGAGAAAGAAGTCGGTAAAGAATTATATGTGTAAGAAGGTTAATTTAAACTTTTCTGCTTGTAATTTTTTATATTGAATAAAAATCCATGAATGAATGAATGTCACACGTGTTACGTCCGAAATACGCTCCTAATTATTTGTTTATGTAATTTAGGCTTTTGTGTATTTTGACTGTATCATGATTGTAATTTGATGATGTAAACGTTATTGAATATTGGACTGTAAGTTATACAAAATTAGCAGACCACATTACAGATGTTATTATTATTTGAATTGTATTACGATTATTTATTATTGTTATTGTTTTGTTCTATTAGGCTTATTATTTGTGTTGTTATTGTTTTATTAAATTTATGGATTGGTGAAGTAGCAAATTACTGTAAACTTCAGAACAATCACGACATTACATGATGCTCATGTTAGGCACGCATTCCTGAGTTTTAATTTTATAAAATGATATTATTGCATTATTCTACTTTCTTCTTATTAGGAAATGTGGGATGCTTCAGATCGAACATAGAAGTGGAAAGCAATTTGGGAGGATTCGAGATTTAATGAGACAAAAAAAATTAGACTTTTATGATATATCTTCCACGGAGGCTTGTAGGAAATGGCCATGTTTAAAATTTAACACAGACTTCAACATGTTTGTAGACGAGAATGCTGGAGTGCTAAGAGCTGATCGATGTCTCAGAGCCTTTCAAGTAGGCTATGTTTTGTGTTTTAATATCTTGAAATATACATATGAAGTTATTGGAATGAATTCATAAAACACTTAACAGTAATGGTGTAGTTATTGGACTTCAGATTTGAATTTTGGAAGAAAAACATGGTGAAATTCACAATGACTAATCTTACTTTATTTGGAGTATGTTTTATATTAAATTGGGCCTATCTAAAACTTACCAGTGGACCTACTGTTTTTTTTTTTTTAATGAAGAAGCAACCCATGTAAACCAACCAAAGAAACGGGATAAGAATCGCTGTCCTGCCACAGATTATTGGGTCCTCACGAGGTGATGACCGAAACAGTGACCCCCAGAGATAATAATCCTTAGAAAATGTGAACGGTAGTACTCAACATGTCGTGCGGCGAAAACTACCTAATACAAAATATGAACGTAATAATTCTTTTATACCTTTTATTACTTTTAATATTTAATCATTAAAATATTTAATGTTACATACTGTTCTGATTAAATTATCATGGTTTACATGGTGCAAAGAAGAATAAAGAAATAAAATAAAGTAAATTAAAACATAACTTAAATATACTTATAGCGGAGACTTAAAGGTATAAAACTTGTCTTTACAGTACCTAGCCTACTCTTACTTTCCATAGGAAATGTTCGTAAAATTTGGTGGCATACTGAAAGATAATGAACAGGTGATAAGTATTCTTCCCGGGAAACATGTGTCCGTGGTAACATCGACCAACAAATACACTGCTAAGAGTATTGTCATCACACCTGGTGCTTGGGCCGCTAAGATACTTCGACCACTTGGAGTTGACATTCCACTAAAGGTGAGTTCTGTCTTTATTCACATAATTTGAGTAATGTTTTAAATATTCATCCATCTATTATTGTTATTGTCCTGTCCATCATATATAGTTTTTTACCATGTTGAATTAATTGATGTAGTTAAGCCTAACCTTGTAATTCCTGGCCCCGAAACCAGACTCAGAAATACAGGGTTGGGGGATAGTTTTCCTCCAAAGTTTTTACTATTTGTGTTTTAAATTGTATTATTTTGGTTGCCTTGTTGCTGTTTTTTTTATTGTATAGTATTATTGCAGGACCATCCATTGTAAAACAATGTTAAGATCGCGTCCTGTATATTATGTTATTCTGCCTAAATATGTTTTAAATAAAAAAATAAATATATAGTCTATATAGTCTAGCTGATTACTGTACGTACTGTAATATTAGGATAAAAAACATATACATTATAAATGATCAATTTTAGTAGTGATTCTTAATTATTATTCTTCAGGTTGTGAGGATTAATGTTTGTTATTGGCGGGTGAAGTCGCGTAATAAACTGAATGATATGCCCACATTTGCTGACACATCCAATGGCTGTATCTATGGATTACCAAGCCTCGAGTATCCAGGGATGATGAAGGTAATTACTGTTGGCACAAACGGGTTGTGTCTCGGACTTAACATTGGGGTCAGGGGATCGTCTTTGACGTGCAAGTGTCCCGGCAAGGCACTTAATACGTCTTTGTTTGTCTTTGGATTAACCGTTTCTCTTTAAAATAGAATCCACTTAAAATTGATGTTTTATCTGATGTCATTGTTTGAAATACTGGTGCTCCAAAGGGATATTTGTCTCTCATATTCTCTTTATATACAAGTGACCTCAAAATTAAATCAAATACTTATCAGATTGTAAAGTTTGCAGATGATACCTGTATCACTAGTCCAGTTGTAAATAATGATGAAAGTGATTTAAAATACAGGTCTAGTGATCTTCTAATCTGGTGTGATAAAAACTATTTAATTTACAAAACCAACGCAATTGTGTTTGAATTTCGGAAAAATAAGACATTACTATTAAAATTTGAAATATCAAATGTTAGCACCACAAGTGAACATTAGTACCTTGGCGGTGGATTGCAAGTTTGTGCAAAAGTAAATGAAGACTATTTATTAAGAATATTAAGAGCTTTTGATATTTGTACGTATATACTTTTCTTATTACATCAATCTATCATACAATTATTAGTATTATTCATGTAAGTATATTTTTAATAATAATAAAGCTGGCAATAAGGTCAGAAGTCCCTGCAATCCATACCATATTTGACGCACATCAAATAAATGTTTGTCTTTCAGCAAATTAGTAGAGTTATCCCGACCGTCAACAAAACCAATCGACATAATTCTTTCTCCATTAGGCAAAACTACAAATTATTATACTTTTACTTGATAAAATCTCTGATTAAATATACAAACTTTTCTGTTGTTTTATCATTTCCGTATAAATTTACTCATTAGATATGCTTTCATGGAAGCGATGTCGAAATCGACCCAGACTATCGTGATGTGGATAATGGTGATACACCACAGAAAGACGTTGAATTGCTGACAAAATATGTTAAAGAACACTTTGAAGGAGTAGAATCCAAACCTTGCATCATAGAAACCTGTATGTACACGGTAAGCTGACTATCCACAATGATATCCCAAATGTTTACGTATAAGTAGGCCTACTAGTTGGATTTTTCGTAATGAAACCAAATTTGGCCGGTAAGTGTAAACTTAGTTGAAATACGAAAAATCCAATGTGGCTATATAAAGTGTATAGATTATGATTCTTCCATTATTTTAATCTCACGAATGTTTTCGTTTTAGTGTTGTAGCCAGTTTTAATACACGAGTGCTTTTCTTTTCGACAATTGTAATCAAAATAAATAATTTTGTTTCATTTTAGAATACCGCCACCGATGATCCCATCCTCGATGTACATCCGCAGTACCCAAATATCGTCATCGGTTGTGGATTCTCAGGTTCGCTTTAGGCTGAAAGGTTCCATACCAATGTATATTTAAATGTAGATGAATTTTTCGTCTAAACCACTATTTGTGGGCTTTTGGGTAGAAATACATATTTTTGCCAAAACAAAAGAATGTAGGCGATTCTAATCACAAATTTAGGTCACCATGGGCTACTGACTCCCGTCTGAATAATTGATCCAGAAAGTGTATGGGGAGGCTATTGCATTTCTTATCCTTAGTAGTAGTGGTTGTGTTAATGTTGGTAGTGATGGTAGTAGGCCAGGCTTTACTCATTCTTACAATAACCAACTGGATTACCCTTGACAGATATGCAAGATGACATTAAGTTACGTCTGTTGATAATGTTAGTAAATGTGTGAATTATGTTAATAATGTTAGTTCATGTGTGAATTATGCTAATTATTTATTTACACTGTTTCTTATGATGACAAACACTTGCAGGACACAGTTTCACAAATGCTTGAGAATTTGAAGTAATAGAAATAATTCTAGTTTATGTTTGTTCTTGCAGGTCATGGGTTTAAACTAGCTCCTGTGATTGGTCAGATTTTATCTCAACTTGCTCTACAACAAGAACCAGAGTTTGATATTTCTCACAACAAATTATCTTGTTTCTTACGAAATAAATCACGTCTATAATTGCTATAGGCCCATCTATGGAGATGTGAAAATGTTTTGATCTTGGACTGTATTAGCTATTATAGAGCTGTCTCTTATACACATCTAGATGTGTATAAGAGACAGACGTTCCCCCCCCCCTTATATCACAAAAAAAAAAAAAAATGTTTTTTTTGTTTTTTTTTAGATTGAATGGATACAGAGTTCCATAGAAAGGTTAATTCTATGTCACATCATGCAATGCATAGCTACAAAGACACGCAGATGCACCAGCATGGAAACCTTTGTGCAATCAATCACTTTCTATCAAGGTCAGCGTGTATGTGCTGTCAGACAACCCCATGCACAGTGACCACAGTACACTGATATGTGTGCACATGTCTATTGACGACACCCCTTCAGTAGACTTACTCTTTTAATAAAGTAACATTTTTGTGTAGACAACTACAGTACCTGATTTAATCATATTGTGTAATTTACAAGATATGCTGTATGAAATTGTATAATCCTGTCTCTAATTGACATGAAACAAAGTAGGCCTACCTAAACCTAGGGCCTAGGCCTATTTCCAGTGGCGGATTTAGGAGGGGTGGCGCATAAGGGGCGTACGCCCCCCCCCCCTATTTTTTTGCAAAGAAAAAATTACACCCACAGTGTTTATGTCTTATTTTCCTACCAAAAACACCCTAGGAGAGTGCTATTCATAAATCTACTTGGTGAGAAATAGAACACTTGTAATTTACTCAATGTTAATATACAGTAGCGGATTTTGTTGTTTGACGACTTTTTTTAACGAATTTTGGATATTATTTTCCTTTTTGCTGATTTTGTGATTTTTTATGCTCAATGTTGCTGAGAAACATGTTTTCTAGAAGTGAAATTTCTCTTTTGAAATGGTGTACATTTATGAGCCTTTGCATGTTGTCAAAGATTATGTTTGAGATATTCGTGAAAGAGGCACTAAAACCCACAGATGTGAGTAGATGAATTATTACTAATTTAATGACACATATCATAGGGTACACAGGGTACCTCATAGGAGGTACCCTGTATAGACATACACCTATTTTTTTTAAAATTTATTTGTTACTGAAAACTACCATGCTAGATAGTCAAAATCGACTCAATACAACCTCAATTCCTCAAATGTGCTGGGCTTCAAGGGCCCTCCACCCCGCCGGGGGGCCTTAGGCGGCCCCTGGACCCCAGCCTAAGGCTGCTCGCTTCGCTCACAGATTGCGCCCCCACCCCCATTTCTGGCAGGCTGGTTCGGCCCCTGCCCTCGGTGCTTTGTACCTTGGCTGGTCGTCCGTCTTTACTTTGGCGCCTTATACACATCTAGATGTGTATAAGAGACAGATCCGCCCCTGTGGTGTTGATACAACAATAATAATAATAATGTATATAGAAGGGGAAAATCTTTGTTGTGTTCCCTAGCACCTAACTTTAAAAATGAGGGTCTGTATGTCAGAAAAAACCTACCCTAGTTTTTCTACACGTTGAGTGGATTATGCTTGGGAATTTGTTTTTGTTTAAAGCAAGATTCCGAACGAAAAAGACACTCCCCCACCCAATTAGGTTTTTAATATAATTTGAGTCTGTGTCTTATTAGCCGTCACCTTTAGTGTCTTAGAAAATTTATTTGTACGTATACATAAATAAAGTTGTTTCCTCCCAGAGCCTGGGATTAATTCGAGAAGAAAGACCTAGATTTAGTTTAGTCTTGTGACGTCCAACGTCAAGGGGGTGCATTTTTCTCCAGTACAAATAAACTCTTCGTGCCTCTGCTTGTGCTTATAGACCTTTCCGGAGTGTCAATCAAACTTAACAATTGACCAATCAGAACTTAAGTCCAGGGATCACGTGTACTGCATACGCAGTAGTCCCACAAACGAACGTGTCTAACTACGCTATTATTGTCTAGGACCTTGGAAACAATATCTAAGGGGCGGGGCTTAGCGGAAAGGTCCATTCAAAGCCAGAGACTCCGGATGGAAAAGTGTTTGATATGTTGTACAACAAGCGGCGTGGAAGCTAATAACTTAAAGATTGAAAATATTATGTGAATTGCAACGTAAAAAATACCGACGTCATGCGCTTTGGTTCTTTTAAATGAAAAATTCAATTTTTAAATGTAAACTTACTGGGTTACCACGGCCGCTTTTAAGGGCGTATTTTGATTATTTTTTTATACGTTCTTCTTGAGCCGGCCAGCCGATGTGAGGGAAAATGTTGATGAATATACTCCCAGGGTCATTTAGAGTCTGTGGACCATGGTTGTGGCCTGGCCAGTGAGAGCTCATAGCTGCTACGCCACTGATTGCTGGAAGTACCTAATATGCTTAAAGTCGGACTCCGGAGAAAAACATGGGGAAAAAGGTGTAAAAAAGGGGCAGTTACGCCCCTTTTCCCCCAGTTTTTAAATATTCAAAAATCTGTTATCTCATTCACCGTTCTCCAGTTTTTCATCAGACAACTTTTTTCTATCTTAGAAAAATCAGTGCTACAACATATCAATTTTTTTTTTCTCCGGAGCCTGACTTTAAGCCTCCATCTGATTAAAAGCTGTTTGTTTTTGAAATGTAAGTTATGTAAGGCGCTCCGTTCCTCGTAGAGCGCAATGTCAAAATGTCGAAATAAATAATAAATAAATTATAATCAATCCGAATAATTATTTGATTAAAAAAAATAAGGATGAGAAATATATTGCAATATATTTTTAATAAACTAAATCAGCATTGAATTACACATTATCGTCATTGGTTTAATTTTGTGGAAATGTTATCCAGAAGCGAGTGTCAACTGTTCTTGTCAAGGTACGGGTTAATTCGCTATTCAAGTAAGGACCTATTAATAAGATCTTATTAATAGGTCCATGATTCAAATATCAAACCCACGTCATACCTTACTCTTTTCATTTTGGTTTTCTTTGGTTGCATTTACTAAGTATTATTGAGAAATTCAGCAAATACTGTATTAGCTATTATAGAGATCATTATAATTTTAGTGTAGTTCTATAACTAATTTTCAATATCTGAAAGAATCAACTATTCGCAGTAGGCCTACCTGTATTATTATTGCAATGTACAGTATCTGTAATGCCGCAGCCGGTTTTAGAATATTTTTACAAAATATTAAGAAAAAAGCACAGCATAGCAAATAACATAAACGTTTTGGATGGCGATGTTTGTGAGCCTCCATTTGGTGACACCGTCGTCGGATTGCGCCCTCCACCATCGGGATTCATTCCAGGATTCATTTCCCTTCCGCCAGGGGGTCTCTGATTAACCTCGACGGTTCCTTTGAAACAGCCAAGAATATACGGAAAGTCGTCATTGGTGTGGTAGCGATACTCTCCACTTGAAGACATTTTACCGTGGCAATCATCCAAATCATCCGATGTCAACCGGGTGCCGTCTTCGTCGATCGGACCGTAGATCGGGAATCCGTCACGAGCGACACCGACGATGCCCGACGGGACGCCCTCTTCAACAGTGAACACGCAGCTTGATGGCATCTTGTGGTAATGATAAACACCGAAAGAATCTGGATGGCGGGCATGTTAGAAATTATTTTCTTAAAATTTTGTTTTCTGTTGGTTGACTATCAATACAACAATTGTATTTAGCCTAATTCGTCTGAGTTGTCATTTTCTTATAAACCTATGTCCATAACTGCTCAATCTGCTCAGAATGAAATTCCTATATATAGTAAGCCTACAATTTGTTCTGGGTCATAACAGAAATAGTAGACTGACTAACCATATTTAGCAGCAGAAATATAAGTGTACATTAGAACAACAGGCCTAGTAGTTGCTATAGTTATTATTACTAAGCCTCGGCATCGTGTGACAGAGTGGCCAACGCTTTTCCATGCCAAATTTGTACCCCCCCCCCCCGTAGGGCTATATTTTAACTAGGCATCTAATTATACTCCTAGGTGGGGCGGATCCAGAAAGGTCCAAAAGGGGGGGCCGAAAGTTGGGCCGATTGAGACAACAGTGTCGTAGGGGGACCGGGGCATGCCCCCGTGATTTTTTTGTGTTCTAGACGCCCGAACATAACATTTGAGGCATTCTGGGCTTTCATTTTTTTCTTTTTCTCTCTTTTTTTTCATTTTTTTTTCATTTTTTTACCTCCCTAAATCCGCCCCTGACTGTGTAAAAAGCGAAATGCACAGCGAAGGTTCGAACCCCCAACCTCGAGTTGAGAGACCGCTCCCACTATATGTAATTACCGATAGCGCCCATTGGAAGATCTTTTGCTTCTTCAGCAAACGTAGGATTGATGGGAAATGTAAATGTATAGTCTTGTACAGCGATGTCATTTGGGTTGTGTTGAGTTGGGTAATCGGGTGTGTCGTGGTCTGGTACACCGTTACTATTTATAGTATGTTCAGCATCAGTCGACACTATTTCGACAAAGCCAGCGACCCCGGTGTTCTGTTCAATACTGGCACTAGCTTCGAAAGCTTCGATTTCTGCCTGGTTCAAGCAATGGACGGACGTCAGTCCAAAACACTAGAAGAGGAGTGGTACTATCATTGATCTAAAAACGAGAGATAATATAAATAATGTCTCCTTGCTGCAAGAGTGATGATTATAGGCCTATTATTCATTATTATTATTATATCATTTCAATCCCACACATGGATGGCTTTAATGCTACGCGATAAGTGATTTGTATATAAAGTTATTTTTTAATACAAGTATCTCATTCGAGATTCAGCAAATAATGAACAGAAGAGGGCGAATCTTATAGATCTCTGGCAGTCTAGTCATGTGCGATATTAGTGCTATATCAAAATTGTTATGTCAGACACGTTAACAGAATTAAAGGAGCTCAAATTCTACTGGCGCTTAAATCACCACAGTGCCTTCGTAGTCAAGTGGATTCATGAGCATTTTGAAAAGGCGTTTATAAAGCGTGTGGGGGTGATCGGCAAATGTTAAATGCGTTGTTTCTGTCTCTTATACACATCTAAAAAACAGTACCAGGACGAGGGAGAAACCAAGGAGGAACAAATAAAAGTTCCTATACAAATGTTTGGCAACTCCAAAAAACCACACATTCAAAAAAAGCAACAGTCACGACAACAGCAAGGGCACCCAGCAGAAACATAAAAATATTGATGAAGAGATCGTCTTAAAATAATATATGTAACGTTCCATTACACTTTCTTTTACAGATAATTACTGACAATCGAAATGCTTTTTAATTTTTTTTTTTTGGCAATGCCAAATCCAAAATTATCTTTACGGTTTTTAATCAATTCAAATACGTTTTTAAACAAGTGCAAAGTCGTGTATGTTAACTTTTTAAAATTTTTATTTTACTTCTTTTTTTTATTTTTTTTTAGTTTTATTAAAAAAATAATTGAGGTAGGCCTAACGAAAAACAACACTACCAAACGGAAAAGAGAAAATAATACTAGGAAAGAAATTAAAAGATAAATTACAATGCTAAGGCAATAATAAATATTATTATAGGGCCTATGCACTGTAAAATTGAAGCAAACATAAGTAGTAGGCCAAAGAAATAAACGCAAACAAAGTAAGTGTGAAATAAAGATATATAAGAAATAAAATATAAATAACAAAAAAAGAATAATTGAGGACTAGATTCAATACAGGACAGAGAGCAGGAAAACTTGGAAGATTATATCATTGTTTCAATAAAAGTTGTAAATGATGTAGAGATTGTGAGGCTGTGTGAGGGCAACGCACCCCTAAAACAACCTAAACCAAACTTTGAAGAAAAGATAGGCTAGGCCAGACGACGGGGGTGTAGATCTATCCAACGAGGAGAATTTCCCCCATCCCCTCTGCCACTGACCACCACCACTGGCGCCACCGCTGGCTGATGATCGTCTTTCTGGCTCCATCTGTTTACAGGCTCTTGGATAATGGGAAGAAAGGCCTGCATGTAGCATTTGCCTGATGAATTTGATTGTAAGCCCACTATCTTCAGTATTGGGCATTGTTAGAGAAAATTTGTCTCGTCAATTCTATATAATAATAATAATTCTTTATTGGTCCTAATTCTGAATCGGAAATTTTGATTTGGCCTCTGAGGACACGTGGCAGCCGCAGTGCAGCGCCACCCGAGTTCACTACAACAAATAACTGATACAAACGTTGTCCTTAACCCGCCTAACTCCTAATATGGGGGTTGTTCGAGGAGCCAAGTAATCGGACTCCAATTAAAGCTCGACGCTGTCTAGATTTGAACCGGGGATTTCAGCACAAGAAGCATACCTCTCGATCAACCAAGGTTCACGGAAATGTTTGATTCCCTCCTTCTGTAGCGCCTTGAGCATTACTCCAGTGGATATGTGCGAATTGTATTATTATTATTATTATTATTACTACTACTATTATTATTACCGGTATTACTATTTACCCTGCATATATCTGAAATATTTCAGTTATTGACCTGGGTTTTTATGTACATTTTTTTGTAAATTTATATGAGATTTGTAATAAAGAATGACGAGAGTAAAAATTATTATTATTAGTAGTAGTAGTAGTAGTAGTAGTAGTAGTAGTATTAGTATTATTACTTATTATTATTTATTATTATTATTATCAGCTCAGATATGCTCATATAAGGTCAAGTTCTATTTTTTAAGATCATATAAGATTATTGTAGTAGTTTGTAACTTATATATAATAATGAACTTCGTATTATATGCTAAATAATAGCAGAAACCTTGGCATTGGTGGCACAATTTTATAGAACTTATTAGAAAGTCGGTCTTTGGATTTGTACGTGAGTCGTCTTTAGCCCTACAACAATTTGGCTAGTAAGCATTATTTTTAATAAACTTATTCGTCTTAAATGGGTAAGAGAAGGCAGAAAAGCGATGATTACGGTATGTTCAATGTTTTAACTTTGATATATTTATAAGTATTTGTATTTTGTTCCTGTCTTGTTCATCTGCATCGGCTTAGTTTCGAAGTTTATCGGAATTTTGAATTGTGAAGTATTATGTACTATGCTATATAAATCTAGTATGTACACATAAACACACACACACAACATGTGCGAGTCAAACACAAAATCAGTAACAGAGGTTGACGAGGTACGGACCATAATAAATATAGGCCTAAGTCTTTTAGTGGAAAGCACTCTCATAATTTTTTGGACATAATAGGCGTATATCTGGTACCATTTGACTCGTTATTTACTGTACGTATATTTGCCTAAACAGCTACCTCTATTATTCTGACACACACACACAGTGTATATAAGCCATAACCTTTTAAGTTGAACAAGGGAACCTTCTCTGGGTGATTTAGCATAAACAAATAACATCTTCAGCTTGAACTAGTTATACCGACTTTTATTAAAAAGCCAATTTCTCTAATGAACCGTATATCTTCGTTTCTTAAGCACTTTATCAGCAGTCTGATGTAATGCTTTTGAGCTAATAAGCATTTTCACAGACATTTATCAAAATCGTACATAACATACCGTATATTTCGGCTGTGTGGAGTTTTAACGTGGACTCAGTAAAGTAGTTTAAATCGAAATAGTTTTGAAAGCACACCAATGAGTAAGGGCATGTGGTTACTTTTACATTAAATAAAATTGAAATAGACCTATAACACAACCAAGCTAATAATTATAGCCAATACGTTTACAGTACATAAAAAGAAATCACAAAATAACAAGCAAAAACAATCCTGTATTTAATTAAAAGCAACATTGATATAATTAGGCCTGGCTATCACACTCACCTGCAAAACCTTTTCCTCTTTAATAATTTTTGTTAAGGTCTCTCTTTTTTTTAATATATATAATAGGCCCTATCGTTGATTTTTTTAAAATTTTTAACATATGTAGTTTATAGCTATAAATCTTAAATCTTGGTTGGTTACACCCAAGAAACACCCCTTTACGATTAATTTGTATCGTTTTTTTTTAGTCTATGTTCAATCGATCTCTGAACACAAAATTATGTCATATCTGAACAATATACCAAAAAAACGTATGCTCAATAATTTTTATATTTTGACATACGACATTTTGTCGTCATCACATCAACTTCTTTTGGGAAACTGTTAAGAGTTATATAGAATAATTTCAAGTAATAATATTATAATGAAAATATCGCATTTTTCATCAATCTTAACCTTGAAAGGAAGAGAACATATAACTTCCAAATGCATGTCATTTGAAGGTTTAAAAGATTGTTCACAATAAAGTCGACTTATTGGAACTAGGGAGGTATTTTTTATATAACGTTCTGCTCAGTTTCTTTACATTTTTTATGCTTATTTTTGTAGAGTTTGAATCAACCTTCGCCAATTTTAACGATATGAAATACGTTAGAAAATCTTAAAAATTGTGTTATTTATTACATAACGCTGAGAATGTTAACAAATATATTTTAAGTCTAAAGAAATTCAACAAAAATAGTGAGATAATTAAAATAGGTTACTTAAAACTAACTGTGATTATGTTTGTGGTATTAAACGAGCTAAAGAACCCGCCGAAATATTAGGTGTTTTTGTAGGGTATGAAATAAATAAATGTAACTATATAAATTTCAGCCAAGAGATTTTACAATCAAGGATAATTTAGATATATAGCGAAATATAAACCTAACATTGAGTGATAGAGAATTTCGCAAATGACATGTTAAACTCCACTATTTTAAAATTTCTTTTTTTAATTATTCAGGTCTTTCAAGAGTTCTTTTTGGCCTCGGACTTTTTAAAACGATGACTTGACATATTCTTTAAACATCTTCAATGTAACTGTCGTCATGCTAATTTCCACTACGTAGTTTTCTTATTCTTACTGTTATTATTTAATTATCATTAATATTATTATTTTTATAATAATAATAATAATAATAATAATAATAATAATAATAATAATGATAATAATAATAATTAATATTATTATTATTATTATTATTATAGATTAGAATGTCTCTCCTTAAATGTCGTCATGCTACTTCCCACTGCGTACTATGCTAATTCTTAATGTTGCTATTTTAATTAATATTAATATTATTTTATCATTATTAATAATAATCTATAATGGTTAAAAAGTCAACGATAATTACAATATCAGCAGCAATCACGATGCAATTTAACTACCAATCACCAAAGTTATAATGTTACATTGGTTCTAATTAAGAAAATATTTACATAATTATGTAAAATGTGAGGCATATTAAAGTGAGTTAATTATACTTGATTAACAAAATTCAGTAATTGATTTGCTTTATTCTGTATATTGAAATAAGTTTGTAGCTTTTAATTGACAATATTCGGAGAAAAGAGATTCCACGTCACAAAACCTCGTGAAATGTCAGAGACTCTAAAACGAGAGGGAGGAGAGGCGATGAAGAACATCAACTACAAAGTACAGTCAATACGCTACCAGCAACACCTATAATTACTTTCAAACAGCAAGTTCAACATTATAGACAAATTAATTACGACCGACCAAGAAGACGTTTATTTAGTGATTGAGTAGGCCTGTCATTTCGATGACAGCACCATTCAAGCTTTCTTCTAAAGTACAAAATTACTAACCTATTGATAAATTTCCCAAATAAAGCAAGGGGATCGAATTTATGAGTGCTCACTAATAATAATCGATCGGGTACAGCGGTTTTGGTTGTACATACAACAACCTCATTCATCTCGCTTGTACAGTATTCCTCTAAATACTGAGACAACTATACACGTTAGTTGTCTCATAGAGAAAACAGAACAGGTTGTCTCAGCTAAATAGAAAGTCCACTTTCGCTTCAAATAGCTGATCGAGGTCAAACTGAGTTGATTAGGTTGTTCCATTGTCATGTGGGGGTTTTGTACTAACAAAATGGATCATTACTCAGTAAATATCTGTCAATCTATCCAACATTTACTTACAAAATGTCTGTCATATATATCATAATCAAAATATGTACTAGAATATTAAGGCTACGAACAGCCCGACACATACCAGAGACACGTCATTTTAGCGACCTAAAAACCCAAAAGATTTTTGGAAGGACTTTATATATTGCATCTGTACGGTAAAACTACTTAAGTAATAATTATTAAGTTTTATATCAGTCTCAAGCTGATTAAAATTTGCTCAAAGACTATAGAGTGAGAGAAACAAGCTTGAAACCGCCAAAAACAGCGAAGTTCGTTACCTGTGTTTCTCTCCCAATGTCCAACATCCAGTAGTGTAGTATTATATAGGTACCTGATAGAATGAATTGTGGCATCGATTTTTTTTAGTAGTAGTTCTACTATCGAGGGAGTGGCGAAGCTTGCACTTTTTGCATGTTTGCCAATAACTTAATCCAATTATCAGAGGTTATAATTAGTATCAGCGCCTTGTATACCTTAACAAAAGGCTTGTTTCCAATTCCTGTTAGGCCTTTTCAATTATTTATATCGTATTTTTCCCAAATATTTTTTAAATACGAGACTGACTATAAAAACTCACCACGTCACAATTAATAGACAGTGCTTCAATCACCACGACAAAGTAATATTTATTCATTTTCTCTAAATCATAATAAAATTAAATAGACCTATATAAACTATATGAATTATAAATAATTGTATTAATGATCAAAAGTCATCATGTAGATTCAATGTCAAAGGTTCACACAGACACCTAAAGCTGTATAAAGTGGGAACCAAAATTCAATTATTAAATTAAAACAGAAAAAATGGTATCATATTACATACCGGTGAAGCCCCCGAAAATTTTGAAAATTCAGGGGTTTCAAAGGCTTATTAAATCGATATTTGGTGGGGTTCAGGTGCCTGGGGCCACGGTGGGGTCTGTCTCTTATACACATCTAGATGTGTATAAGAGACAGATATATATGTATATGAAATAAAAAATAATAAGATAATTTACAGAGATATGTAATATAATTTATCTGTTTTACTAAAATAAATTAATATTCTGTTCAAAATGGCCGCCTTAGTTTTTGACAAAATATTTCATCCCCATCATTAAAATAAGGGTGTTATATGTAATAATCGTAATAGACACAGAACATGAGTTCTAAATATGTCATATTGCATGTCGTATCATTTTAGGTAGGTTCTTTACAAAATAAGTGAAATGGAGCACAGCCAAAGCGCGATAAATAGCAGTCTCAATGAAGACAATTGAACAATTTGGGCTCCGTTACCGGATGGCGGCGTTGTAGATTGAGTATTCGGCGGCGGGCCTCCACCAGATATTTCCACAGTTCCTTTGAAGCAACCTAGGATATACGGGAAGTCGTCCGTTGTGTGGTATCGATACTCTCCTCCCGAAGACATTTTACCGTGGCAATCATCCAAATCATCCGATGTCAATCGGGTGCCGTCTTCGTCGATCGGACCGTAGATCGGAAATCCGTCACGAGCAACACCGACGATGCCCGACGGGATGCCTTCTTCAACAGTGAACACGCAGCTTGATGGCATCTTGTGGTAATGATAAGTACCCGTAGGACTTGGATGGCCGTCACAACTATCAAATATTTCGGTTTGGACAGCATCTTCCCTCTCAATTGTATACGGGTTAAACAAAGCCACTCCATTTATTGCAAGCCCTGTGAATATAGTATATTATTTACATCATTTACGATAATGGCTGTAAAAATATATGTTAGCCAGTCTAAATTCTTCATATGTTGCAATTAGTTTGGTGAGATTTAGATTTCAGATTCAAGATAGGCCTATGTTTATTTTTAAAAACACCTATAGGCTCCGTAAGAATTTTTTTTAAATATGTTGTATAACTGATTCTCTTAAGGCCAACTCAGACAGCGTCGTACGACGCAGCCCGACGCGATAGTGTGCGTCGGGGGCAGTCGCGTCGTAGAATATTAAACATGTTTAATATTTCTCACAACGGCTTAAGACTGTCTCCGACGATAAATCGGGTCGGGCTGCGTCGGCAGACACTGTCTGAGTTGGCCTTTAGACACACAAGAGCATATTTTTTGACGAAAAAGTCGGGAGTGGTTAATGAGATACAGATTTTTGAATATTTAAAACCAGGGGAAAGGCGTGTAACACCCTTTTCCACTTTTTTCCCAATGCATTGGTTAATAATGTAACTACCCTAATCATTCCTTGCTATGATTGGATATTTACCAACCTTACAAATTAAAGAGGTTCTTGAATCGTGAACATATAATTATGAGACTGTTGAAATAATGCTTGTTCCAGAGTAGCAACGATATTTATACTTTATCAGTAATATAATTATGTAAATGTATATAGTTTACCTATAGCGCCCATTGGAAGCTCTGTCGTTTTTTCCGCAAAGGTAGGATTGATGGGAAATGTAAAGGCAAAGTCTTGTACACTAATGTCATTTGGGTTATGTTGAGTTGGGTAATCGGGTGTGTCGTGGTCTGGTACACCGTTACTATTTATAGTATGTTCATCATCAGTTGAGACTATTTCGACGAAGCCAGCAACCCCCGTATTCAACTCAATCTCGCCACTAGCTTTGAAAGCTTCAATCTCTGCCTGGGTTAGGCAATTGACGGCCGTCAGACCAAACCACACGAGGAGAATTGGTAACGCTGTCATCTAAACGAAAGGAAATAAGCCTAAAGTTTAATTAGTTTACATGTAGTGGCTTAAAATAAAAGAAGGCTGGGTATATCCATGATCTTGGAAAATAAAATTTAAAAAAAATATGTGATGTGGGTTTCTTATAAAGATAATTTTAAAATGTTCTATTTCTACGAATTCTAAACTATAACGAAACTATTCTCTTTATGCGGTTTTAAATTTGGCAGATGGACCATATTTTTTTACAGGGAGTACATTATGCAATCGTTAAACACAGATTGACGATATATACTTATATTAAAAGACTGGGTTGTATCCCGGTGGTCTTGGCAAATATGTGTGTGTGGGTGTGTGTGTGGGNGGGCCAGATTTCCCCCACGAAAGCAAAGTGGGCGTGGTCGAGCTTCAATTAATAGGTTCCAAAAGTGGTCCTGGGGGTGAAGCCCCCGAAAATTTTGAAAATTCAGGGGTTTCAAAGGCTTATTAAATCGATATTTGGTGGGGTTCAGGTGCCTGGGGCCACGGTGGGGTCGGGGGCGAAGCCCCCGAAGCCAGAGCAGTTTTTGTGTTTAATGGGTCTATAAAAATGGTATAAAAGCAGTTTGGCCTATGTTTTGAAAAAGATCTATGTAATGAAAAGGTGGTAGGCCTAATATAATAAAATTAGAAATTATTTTCTGAGAATTGGCATGTTTAAGTCACACCGAAAGATATAAAAAAAAAAGCTCATCGCATAATCAATATCAATATACTCAACACGTTTATTATTATAAAACAAAACAAAAAGCTATTCTTCTTTTTCCTCCTCCTCTTCTTCTTCTTCTACTACTTCTTCTTGACTCTCATAATAATAGTACTATTTTACTACATGGCTAAAAAAAAAAGCACAAATACTGCCATTACTACTGACATCTAGATGTGTATAAGAGACAGGTCCTAGAGAGTTGCTTTTGGTTTCAAATTGTTCAGAATGGGGATGTTCCTATTTGGTCTTATAGCAAATGCTGTCTCTTATACACATCTAGATGTGTATAAGAGACAGATCTTACCTAATATTTATTGTCTACAAAATAAAATATGAATTACATGCATCTTTAGAAATACAATTTCTACAATATTATTCTTGTTTTTATGTAGATAAATGTTCGATAAATTCTTTCTTTCATAAAAAAAAAAAAAACCAGGCCAACCAATAATAATTAACAAAATGTATTTTTTTAAATATAGGCCTATGGCGCATCCTGTACATGCACTTCAACTTTTACAACAAAAGCCTAGGCCTAGTAGGCCTACCTGTAGTACAGTACTGTACTTAGGCCTAGGCCTACACTTTGTTGTCGTCGGGGTATAATTCTGTATCTAAATGAACAAGGAGCGAACCTAGCTAGTCAACATCTAGGCTAGGCTAATTGATTTTAAAATCAATAACCCACCA